AAAACCTACAACCCAAAGGACAAACTGCTCAAAATTTGGAGGACGTGATAAAGAATTCAGAATTTTTAGGATGAGGACACAACCATCCTCTTCAAAACCTAGGATATTATCAAATCTAGCTATGTCTCTAACAGTAACACCATAGCCCCCATTTAACTAACCCTGAGCCACAGCAGCACTTTATCTAGCAGTTATGGAATTGCCATGCTGCCATGTACGCCCTGTAAAATGGAAAGCACACAGCACTAACATCTTAGACTGTATTTCTCCACCTTCATTCTAAAAGAAAACTTTTGGCACAAACTTTCTGTAAAGTTTTCCTAAGAATCTCACATTTATTTTGGCTTTAATATCATGACTGGAAAACAATGAGAGTGAAGTGTTTAAACGTTTTTATTTCCTGGGTGTTTTTCAGTTTAGCCTTCACAGACCCTATTCCAGATCCTTCCATGTGAGTTTGCTTTCTGTCACCTAAGCAAAAGTTACAGAAGGGTGGGAGCAAATTAAGATGGCCTACATTACAAAATTAACCAGCAACAAACATGGCCACTAAAACATAGCTTTCACTTCTGACCGTGCTGATTTCAGCAGTCCCTATCCGATGGAAGGGCATGAAAGTGACAAGAACAAAATACAATTCCTAACAAGTGATTTGCCTCTCAATGGAGAACCTGGAGATGTTAATTACAACACTCACCCGGTCATTTCCTCTAAGTTACATCCCGAAATTATACACTCCATTGGTTGGCAAGAACACTTTTTATATCCTTTTCCAAACAAGTGTCTGCTTGAAACATTTCTAGACAAAGAAGACTTTGACCACTATTCAGCCACCTTCTAGGTCATAGATAGCTAAAATGCTCCCAAACTGAGTCCAGCATTCAAATAGTTTGCAGAATACTTTATGACAAAAAGAATAAGGGCCCAGCTAACAGAGAAATGCATTTGAGGTCATGTAAGCCTTCGCATTTCTGACAGCCCTTCCAACAATTTAGCTCGTGCCCGTGTTCTCTGAAAACACAAATCTGAACTATGATGTGACATGAAGATTTTGGAAGGGTTGCAGAAAGCAGAAAAATCAAGCAAAATTTGCCACAGGAACAAGAACATATTTGCAATTCAAATAGGTCTGAGAGGGGAGAAAAAAGCATGTAAACCAGACACATTTCATCTGAAATGAAATTAAGCCTTTCCTCCTTTTCCCCTTTAGGGAAAATTACCATGACAAGAAATGCCAGTGACCAATTTGGTAGACAAAGTAGGACATCCTTCAGCAATTGCTGCCTGTAGCTATGCAGGTCACTGCTAGCAAGCGACTGTGAAATCCTCTAACACGTAAATCTTGCAGCAAAGAACGCAACTGTTGAAACTGTCTTTTCAAAGGGCACGGACGAAACTCCAGAGGATCCTGAGCAGAGCAGATTTCATCGCCCCAATCGAGGCCTGGTCCTGCAGCTCACTGGTCAGATCTCAGCAGTTGCTCCCTGGGCATAAACAGGGAAACGTGGACAAGACTCTTGCAGTTCAAGAAATGGTATCTCCTATCTGAAATGCAGCATTAAAATAACCTAACACATCGGAACATATTGCACGGCACAGCACAGAGCTCCACTGGAAGCCAGCCTTCCTCTGGAGGTTTATCAGGACCACAAATGTAGCTCACTCCCCTCCCCCAGGATTTCAATCTGTAATTACCACAGGAAATCTTGCACCTCTGGCGCAGTCCTAGAGCTGAGACCCAACTTCCCAGTTACACAGCGGGAACTGATAAAGGCATTGCTGAGTGCCAGCAGTGTTCATGAACACCACGCTGCCCGTTAGCCAGGCAGGAAGGAGGCTGTGCACGGCGATGAGAGCTGCTCGTCTCCCCAAGCACCAGCACTCCCTGCCCTTGCTGGGGAAGGTGATGCAGCTGCAGGGATCTACTTCCAAATTCCTGACTTGCATTAACCTCTTCCTGCCAACTCTACATCCCTGCCAAGCCACAGGATCCTGCAGTATTAATGCACCACAGGTGATGCCTTGGTTTGCAGTTATAACTTATCTGTTATGTCTGTCATGTAATCGCTCAGCTGAACAGGATGAATTGCTCCACTGCCATGCCCTGCATAAGCTACATGGCAACACGTTTTCCACAAACAAGCTTTGGGGTCCTGTCTTTACTTGCGGAGCTACGGCAGCCCTACTTCAGATCTTTTTTTACTGAACAACTGGCCGTGAGAACCAAAACTCCACGCCTAGGTTTAAACGATAGCAACCGCTGATACCATCTCTCACCTATCATTCCAGGACAGGCTGAACTAACCGTAATCAGAACTGACAAAGCTTACTGAAGACAACAGGACTTGTTAACGCATTTTTCTTTTCACACCTGCACTGACATTCTCGTAAGGACCAAGTATGCTGAGAAGTCCTGGAGATGATCTAGTTTTCCTCCTCCAGCCACAGCCACTTTAATAGGCACCTCTGCTATTTGCATCATCTCCACACAAGACTTCAGGGTTTTTTTTTAACACAAAGCAGCCTCGATCCTCAGATCCATTTGTATTGGTATCTTCTGCTGCATCTTTCCTCTCTGCCCGCCCCAGAGCATAAGGGAGCAGGTATCTCTGCAAATCGGCTCCAGGTGCAGGGTGGAAAATCAGCTCAGAAGGCTCTGTCACCATAGACAAGTTTCTTAAGTTCCCATAAAAATCACCACTTCAACGCACTTAACAGAGGTGGAATGTAAGTGGTCATTTGAATTTGCATCTGAATTTCCTTTGTCCTGCCAAGCTAACTTGTTTACCAGGATTTGTTTAGCGTTTGGGGGCAGAACTGGTTGTCGCCTGGCTTCTTTTTCCTTCTAAGCAAAACTCCGTGCCAAACCCACCCAACCCTCTACCTTAGGAATCAGAGAGTGATTTGATCTTATTTGCTTGTAAGCCTTCCAGTCGATGATAAAACGCAGTTCAGGAACACTATAGCTCACCCTTGCTGGGTCTGTGTCTGGCACCGAGCAGTCTGCAGTGCCACCAGTGCCTTGCAGTCTCACTGGAGCTTCCAGCAAGTACACAAAAGTCACTCGAAGGTACTACAGCTCCCAAATAATGGCTTTCAGCTATTCCTCAAACAAAGAGCTCTTAATCCAAGGAAAGACACCTTTGTCAGCAGTCGGGCCACTCCCTTCCCAGCACGAAATATTTCGTACGGTTATTTAGCATTTCATGGAGTATCTAGTGCATAATTTAAAACATTTCCTGTACTTAAGCTCCACCCTGTAAGAGATCATCGTCAGCACTCGTTTTCAAGCCTGTCTACCCTCTGCAACATGAATAAACAGCTAGGGATGGTCTAATGCAAAGTCCCTCCTTCTGCTTTCAGAACAGAGTGTGTTATCTTCTTCGTTACAGGAAACTGCAGTAAATTTAAGAGGAGTATTGCAATCTTCCCCCCTCAAAGTCAACACTGCATTCCACTGCAGGGTAAACTCACTTTCTGTGCTTTCAACACTGCGGTTTGCTTTCTTCTTTCAACGTCATGTAAACATGCAGATAATGGATTCCTGAAGCAGTGACCCTGAAAATGATAAAATCTGCCTTCCTCCGGCTGCTACCTTCACCAGCACAGAAAGAGGTGGGAGCCACTAGTTTCCCCCCCCCCCCCCCCCCCCCCCCCCCGTGCCGCAAGCTTCCTCGCTCATTGTTAAGCAAGTACCGCAGCCTAAGATCTGACAGATGTCCAAGATAAAGCCTCTAATGTATGTATTCCCTCATGTGTAAGTTTGGAGCCTGGACTTTCCATGCCTTGCCTGAGGAATGTCTCAGTTATCAGCTCTTAAAATGCTGTCATCTTATCTTATTGCATCCAGAACGCAGCCATTACTCTGAGCCAGTTTACAAGATAAACAAAGTACTATGAATGAAAGATTTTCTTGCCTCCCTCCTTAAGCCAAAAACTGGGAACATTCTTCACGCTAACCAAGGCTCTTCCTCCTTCTCCAACAGGAACCACAGGACCACACTTGTGGTACAGATCAGCGTGAAATAAGAAACATGCTCAGAAGGGATGAACTTCACTGTACTTGGGCTGCTCCGGGATTATTTACAGTCACATGGCTACATAGGAGGAGGAGGTTTGGTTTTGGTTTAGAATTCTGATTGATTCTGAACTGCACTGCCAGAGCTCATTCATTCCTGAGAATTGCCTTGCACAGAAACAGTGGTGTTGATATTCCCGTGCCCAAGGCAGAGAGACACTGGGCACAATCCTGCTCCACTGCAGCACGAGCAATGTGGGTTTCCAGCCCAACTTAGAGGCCTACACTCTATCCAGCACATCCCATTCCCCAAAGAAAATAGCTGATTTCTATTCTCACACAAATAGAGAATTTAATGGGAAGATACTGCAGAACGCTGCCTCTGTCTAAAAGTAAAGTGGCAAAAAATGAAGGAAGCTGGGAACATTAAAGTATGCAAAAGCTTTCAGAGTAATCTACTATCAACATGAGCAAGGCATTTTGTTTGGAAATGATGCAACTGCCCTTGGTTTGAAAAAGTCAAGCTACCTTTTCGTCTTTACAGGAGGGACACAGGCAGTTAGAGCTGCTGCACTGCACCCTGCACCCAAACAAACCCAAGATTTCATGACTAATATCCACAGTTACGATTATATCTCATTTAAGGCTAAAACAAACAGAAAGACCACTCTCCCTCTTATTGTTCCGACTGACTTGGTCTGGGCTACTTCTCATCTGTAATGCTGAGTGCTCACAGTTGGACTGCACTGCACCGCTGTGTGAGACTGAGGACACCTTCAGAGGGATAAAAGTCACACAGGGGCTCTTAAAAGCACACACAGCTTTGTGCTGTAGCACTGTTTTTGGACCCTGTATCGTTCTTGCCTCCCTGCAAGGAGAACAAGCCCAGGCTAACATATTACTGGGATCATATCATAGCAACACTTACAAAAGGAGAAGAAAAAAAAACCAGCAACAAACACACAAAACAGCATGGGCTTACCTTGTAACTGCTTGAATCTTCCTTCTAACTGATTATAGTTATAGGGCACCTGAGCTGCGTATCCTGGGGACAACGGCCCAGGCATACTGGTTGATTTCTGTAATTCCATTTACAGGTAACACAGGGATACGATGAACTGCAGCATAAAGAAACCACGGGTTTCTCTACCCCACATCCAGGTAAATCCCAGCTTCCTCTGGAGTTTGGCTTCGGTCCCTGAGAAAATGCTCTCAACTGAGCCCCGAGCAAATAGCAGCTCCGGTTCAAAATCCAGCGGTGTGGGTTGGCGGCACGTTTTCTGTAACAGATTCAAACTTAAAGCACCAGGAAGAGTTTTTTTGGTGGTGGTTGTTTTTTGCTTTTTTTCTTTTTTTTCTCTGCTCCACTACAGTGCTTCAATCTTGTTTCAAATGCCCAGCTCTGGTGAAACTAACCTAAAGAAAAGTGAGCTTGCGTTTCAGCCCAGAGCCACGCGCAGCCGTCCCAGCAGCGCTCCCAGGAGTCGCGCACACCTCAGACCTTACGGCTGGTTTGTAATATAATCAGCAGCCGCCCGGGCGGAGGCTGATGTCACTCGATTACCATACGGCACAGTGGAGGAAACGTAGGCTGTACCAAGGGCGAAGGGGCGGTGGAGCTGGGGAAGAGCAGGGCTGGCGGTGGGACGCCGGGGAGGCTCCTTCCGCTGGAAGCGCCCGGCGCGGCGGCAGCACCCAACCCAAGGGCCGCGTGTGGGATGGCTGCCCGCGCCCCGCTGCACCACACGAGTTGGTGGTATCTTCCTAAACAAAGCTGGTGGAATTACACGCTTCTGTGGAGAGCCTCATGTAACGGAAAAGTCTCAGATTACTATCGCTTGAAAAGGAGGGCACTTCTCTTCATTTATTTTCAATACCGTTCGCTTGAAAAAGCAACACGCGCACAGAAGCACTCATTCAGTATTTAGCAGCAGGCGAGGAGAGGACTCAGAAAAACGTGCTCTCCAGCATGCTGGGTACAAACGAAACCTTTGTGAAGGGGTTCTGTAAGCAGCCAGTTCCTTTCGCTCAATTTCATGTCGCTGCCGACGTGGAAGATGCTGACACGTCCTGTGCACGTGAGCGCAGGTGCCCGCTCTGCCTGGTGGAGTGCAGCTCCTGGAGTTGGCTTTAGGATGGGTCAGCTTTCCCTTGGGGCCGTGAGCTCCTTCCCTCACTCATACACAAGTGAAATGAAAAGGTCAGTTCTGCATTTATATTCTAAATGTGCATCGTTTGCCCATTTGCTTTTAGAACTGCTAAAACATTCACGCGAACGTTTTCTCTTTTTTTTCATTTCTCGCATTTCCAAATTCCTTCCCAACTGAATCAATGTTCTCTTCTCCTCCCACTCCATCTCCTCCTTAAATGTTTCAAAATGTTGCCTTTGTTTTGATGCTGCAGTTTCACAAGTTTTTAGTCAGATAGTAATTTCTGAGGACAATTTCTGTGGGCGAAGCACCCACGGGCTGATTGCAGCCCTGGCTCCAGAGAGGTGCGAACTGGAAAGGCGAGCGGGGGGCACCAATGGACAGGGAACAAGGAGTGAGAGTGGGAACAAGCAGCGAGAGGTCCGGCTGTGAGCGGTGTTAATTCAGGGAGAAGGGATGAAGGCAGCACTTCCCAGCTGAAGCTGGGGTTTCCAAAAAAATAACAAACCCACAGTCTGCTGAAAGTGCTTAGTGCATCGCTCCCAAGGCCATAAATACACTTAAAACATTTACAGCCTTTAACTACACTGGTTTACTTAAAACAAAAACCTAACTCCCAACCCAGAATTCCTTATTATGTTGATGCAGAAGGGCTTCTGCCAGCATTTTTCAGCGAATCCCTCTATAACAATATAACTGTGTTTAGATGAGACTTTTGGTGCTACAGTAGGCCTCAAATAGAGGTCTTTTTGAAAGCTGGCCTCCAACCTTTTCAGTACTACCCAAAGCCCATTCAGCTGCCCAGAGAAGAAAGTGACCGTCTACAGCTGGAACACTGCTGTATAATGGAACAAGGTGCTGCAGGCTTGTGCCCCCAAATAAGCACTTGGAAGGCATGAAGGGATTTGAGGAAGCACCTGTACTCGCTGCTGCTGCTGCAGGCAGGATCCTGCTGTGGGGACAACAATGTGCTGGTGCTGGCACGGTGAGCCCCGTGTTCCTGCTAAACCTTCCCCTGCTAATCCCTGTGCAGCCAGCTGTCCCCAGCACAGAGAGCTGTGCAGAGAGCTGCCAGCCACCTGACTTCCAGGATGGGGGGGGGAGGGAGGAAGGGGAAATGGAGCTGATCATATACAACTGCAGACTCCTCCAAAGCTCCAAGGGCATGAGGACAGGCTCATTTCGGCTGCAGATTTTTTCCTACAGCTTTCTACCAACGGCAGCTTTTGCCTGCAATGTCTGACCTATGTCATAATTAAAGGAAACCTTTCCCTTCGAGAGCAGGCAGGCAGCCAGGCCCTACCTGCAGGCGTATCAGCTCACTGCTGTCCCACCTTGAGCAAACAGGTGTTGCTATGTGAGGCAGCCATAAAGTCCAAGAGAGTGACAGGAGAGCTGGAGTTTTTTTAACATCATTAAGGCCATAAATCAGGAGCCAGCAGCTCTTCCCCAGCTGAAAGCTTTCCCAGCGCCTTTGGCAGAGGACAGCATAAAGCACATGGCCATGATCAGAAATATTGAAAAATAAAATATTACAATAAATGAAACATTCAAAACTAAAAATAGTCATCTGGCTTTGACCCATATAAAACACAGACTGGCATTCCCAACCCTGCTATAAAACATTAACAATACACGCATGAATTCACTCCTCAGATCATCCCCTGTGGGACAACTCAACGTGGTAAGCTTACAGTTCTCAAGAAATACTGAACAAAAGTTGGATTTCTGACCTGCACAGCAGCATTCAGTGCTACACAAAGAAGTGAAGGAACTGAAGCAAGGATGAGCAGTGTAGTCTACACCACAAACAAAGGGAAAGCTAAAGAAAAAGGGAAGAATCTGTGCTGGAACTGAGTTTAATTTCTTCAAGATCTGACAGAGATGCTAGGATGCTATGGAGAAATCAGCATCAGTCACTGTGAAATTTTGACCTCATTTTATCTACCATCCAGGTTGGCATGTGGGCTGAACAACAGGTCCCCAAGCAACAGATGTGACAGACTTTGTTAATGATGATATCAGCTCCTTGGGATGGCCCCAATCACCGGGTGCTGCCGACTCATCTGCCAGAGCATTACTTACGCTCTGCTGGGCCTCCTGTGGACATTTTGAAGGCTCCACTTAACAGGTTGGTAGTAATTCAGTAGAAGAGCAAAGCAAAATGGGGACCTGCCTGTATTTGTGAAACTCTACACAATTGTATGTAGCAATTTCTTAAAAACGGGCACCCCGCCAGTTCCCATTTTTATTTGAGTAACATCAGACCTAATACAGTCATTTGCTGTTGATTCCAAATTAGTGACCCTACGACCAGTTTACTGCTGTTTGTAGCAAAGCACTGAATCAATTACAAGGTTCTCACATGCACAAAGGCCTTTTTTATACCTAGTTTTCACTCATTCTCTTTCTTCTCTTTGACTAAGCCCTTGACAGTGCTAATTAGATTATTTGTTATGGAGTGGAATTAATACTTTAAAGGCCATAAATAGGATAACTTAAGTCACACTCGGGCCATTGCTTATCAAATCAACCCAGCTTGAAATTGTCCATGGTGCAATTCATCACTGATTACAATGTTGGAGAAAACTAAGGGGCAAATCATGTGTTAACTTCTAGCAATCAAGCAAGGATTTTTTTTCTTTAGTTCTGCTCCCACCTTCCTCTTACAGCTCTGAAATACAAATTTCTGCTTGTATTCTCTGAATTGTACCTCTCCCATGGTGCATGACTGGTAATGATGGCCTGCGTTACTTGTGCACTCATTAGGAGTTATTAAATAAAAGCACCAGTGATTATCTACTTAGCCATAAATACATGCAGTAATGCAAAGTGTGACTTAGTTGATGTGATTAGAGCTTTGCAAAGCCTCAAGGAGAACAAGAGGTTGATTACAGTAACAGGAATGTAGAAGCAACATCTGGAGGCAGGTGCTTTCCCCAGACCAAAAAGGATCTGACCCAGGATCTGTTTTTAGACAGAACTGCTGCTGAATTGCTGCTTTTTTCACAAAGCAATTCAATGGAAAATAACTGACATTAAATCTGGCAAAACTGCCACCCAAATCCCTAACTATCAATGTTTCTAAGGTTTAACCAAACCACCACTTTTCTTAGCCAAAAGAAAATCCATAACCAAACCCTTAACATAATCTCAAAAGAAGTATAGACAAAAAATTCTAATTTCCAGGCTAAGGATCCAGTTCATAATTGTTCTGCAGAAAATAACTGCTAGGTTGGCAGCACATAGCTAGAAATTGCCTGATAACCTCATCCAACCATCACTCTGTGCTGTTTTCCACCAATAAAGTCAGCCATTACTGGCTGGCTTTACGGGGTTGACAGTGAAGATAATGTTTGCAGTGGACACAATATCCAAACAGGCCCACCCACAAAATACATTCATTTATTGCAGATGTGAAAAACCAAGAAGGTAATTCACAAAATGTTCCCTGGGTACTATAAAATAAATGCGGGCTTTACACTGCTGTGTTCTGAAACAAAGATGTGATTTTACAACTTCACGAAAGACAATTATCTTTCTAATGGAAAGCAGAGTGCACGCCAGAGCTTACAATAACTACAAATCTGGTTAATCATCACCCTTGTCTTTCCTTCTTACTCTTATTTGCTCTTCTAAATTCTCTATGTGGTGACTAACTAGAAAAAATATCGCAAGATAAAAAGGATGATTTATTAATCTAAAACGCCACAAAAACTATATAACATTTGATTCTCTCTTGAGAGGGACTAAAGTTCTTACACAGCCCTTCTAAGGCCACAATTAAGAACTCAAAACTCCCATCACACTTGCCTTTCTTGAGTCCTCTTCCCAATACCTCAGTCTGCACAGTAAAAGGAGAATCTCTCCTTACATATGCAATAGGTCCAGTAAGGAAAGTTGTGGGGTTTTGGTTTTTGTTTTTTGTTTTTTTTTCTGTGGATTGTTCTGGAAGTACTTATTTTTATCACATTTGACAATTTGCATAAGATGAATCCTGAGGAGTTAGCTGCCTTCCCTGCAGTTCACACACAAGCTGCTGGAACGCAGAGGAGCAGCCCACACACCATGCACGAGTCGCTGTGCCAACTTCATTTTGTCTTCCCACTGCAGGTACAGGCAGAGCAGGTCTGCTCCTCTTACCAACTTGTCATTCCTTGGGACACCTGGCAACTATCTCAGAAGGTCAACTGAACACAAACTAAACAGAGCAGTTGAATTCTTCTGTTCAAAGGGAATTTTAGGTCAGTGGCAAATAGAAACTTCCTCAGAGTCCTTTCCTGATATATCTGGGAGAGCCAAGGGCATCACAATGGAAGGGAAAGGGGCAGACTGAAAAGCAGGAGACCGCAGAGACTTCTGTCACTAAAGGACCTGCACACACTTCCCTTCTGCCAGGCCCAGGTAGGTCTGCAGCAGCTCAGCCCTGGTCCCTAGTACAGACCTGGGCCCAGGATTAACAACAAAGGCGGCTCAAACCCTTTGGAAAAACTGACAAATCTGCCCATAATGTCAACCTACTACTGAAACTGGGTCAGTTCCATCTGGTTTCGAGTTTCAGAGTGAACAGTTTTCACAACTCCCAGATGAACAGGAAAGTTGACATGACTTTTGCAAGAGCATGTCCTTGCTAAGCGCAGCAGTGGAACACTTGCCAGAAAAGCCTGCAGAGAAGAGCTATTCTAGCATTTCGTGTCTGGAAAAGCTCGTGGCTTCTCTTGGTGTGTATTCCAGTCTAAATGGCTTTTTCTGAGCTGTATTGCTTCCCATATCAAAGCAGGGAAGAACCTCTGAAGTACCCCAAAAATGACACAGGTTTTCCTCGTGGCCCACAAAATGCACTCAGTTTGCTACCTGACTTAGATGAATAACTCTTTTAAAAAGTCTATTAAAATCAAGCATGGCACACAATCATGCAGTTAAGATACTTATTTTCTCTGAAATTTTGGTGTGAAAGCACTTCTCAATTTTCTTCCAGAGAAGAAGTTTTAGCATGCTATTTTAAAAGGTGATGTTTTTATTGCCTTTCCTCAACCCCTCTCCTTCTCTGACTGAACTGCACCCACATTTATATGTAGGGAGAAAAAAGTGTTTCACCACTCCTTGATCTTTCCTTCCATTTGTCCTGTTTCCTTTTTTTTTTTTCCCCCCAGAATTAGAC